CCCCAAAACCCCAAAACCCCAAAACCCCAAAACCCCTTAAATCAATTATAACATTGAACCACAATTAGTTTATTCCTCTTCAGGAAGACTACTCATCTCAATCTTACCCAGCAGGGGATATACTATGGTGAATGTATGGTTTGTGCTAAAGTTTCCTGGATTTGTGACCTTCGTAGCGGCATTTGGTAGGGAATCCAATGAGTATTGCTCGCAAGTATCAGCAAGTATTAAGTAATCAGGACAGTTGTTCAAGTTAAGCACTTCTGCATACTCCCAGTAAATAGGTTGCACAAGGTAGAACAAAGGCATTAAGCTTGCTTGAGACAGAATTGTGTTGGCAATCTTAGTAATGTCTATAATTATTAGAGCAAAATAATTCACCATCAACCTCGTTAGCATCTTCACCCTCACTTTTGAGGTCTCCTCCAAGATAGTAACTGTTTTTCTTGATTCTCTTGAGGTAATCATATCTGCTGACAACTATCTCTTTACCATAGAAGCTTATCCGGCATGGGTTACAAGCAAATGTAATATTCTCAATTCCCTGGAATGCAGTGTCTATAATTCAGACTGAATGACTTACCATGGAAGTACTCTAACATTGGAGGGCAAGGGAAAATCTGGTCACTTCAAGTGATAATAAACCTTCATTCAGCTTTCAGTCTGAGGTTCTTCTTAATAATTCTGGCTAGTTCATCAAATCAAAATTTAATCCCTTCAAAATCTAAGGAGTCTGCCTTTTTCAGTGAGATAAATTCTCCGCAAAGAATAAATGTGTTAATAGCCTCTATAGACTCATATGCAGTGAAGATTCTGTCAAGGGCATGAATGGTTTCTGGCTCATCAAGGAATATATTCGACATGATGACTATACCTTCATTCTCATCGATAGAGTCTTCAAGGTCTTCTCTTTTATTCATTGCGAGCTTATCAATTTCTTCAATTTTATTAAGCACGTTGTTTCTTACATAAGTATATGCTCCGAAGTGATCTTTTTCTGAAATTTCGTTCCTTGTTGGCATTGGAATCATTGGAGGTTGGTGGATGTTATCAGCCCAGAACACTCCTCCACGGTTAGACCCCTCAACAATTACAATAGACCCTTCAGTGAAGAAGGAGTCTTTTGCGCTATGAGTTTTGGTAAGGTTTAGTCTGATTCTCATAGTTTCATCTTCAATATGAAGATGCCCATCTTCTCCATTAACAAGGATCCCAATGCAGCAAACTGTATTTGGAGTTCCTAGTACTGAATTCAGACGTTGGATTGTAACAGTGTCTTCCTTCTTTTCCTTTATATTTGAGTCAAGGATGGAAGGACGGATAAACCTAGGGTCTTTCATCAGCTCTTCTTCTAACATTTTCATTCTATTGCGAAAGTACTCAGTCCTAGAATCAGCACCACCGAGCAGGGATTTAGAATCCCCCTCAGTTGTAGTCATTTTAGAAACTTTTAAAAGCGGGTTCAGGAATATCCTTAAACGAATCTAGAATAATTATTTCTTTCTTCAGATAGTCAAAGATGGGGTCATCGATCTGCTTCTCTTTAGTCTCTTCTAATTTCTTGGATTTCTCTGCAATCAAGGTGGCCATGCTTTTCTTAGAGTCTTTAGTAATGTCCTGGGCTTTATCCTCCTCCAAGTCCTGCAGAGTAAGACTGAGATAAATCTGTTGAGCAGTGTTCTGCTCAAGAATGTTACTCTCAGAGTTGCCTCCGCAACTCTTGATCTCCTTAAAGCGCTTGATGAAGAACTTGACTACTTTTGCGCCACTAGAAGGATCTGAAAAGTCGTTAGACTTCTTCAGATCGTTCTCGACTTCCATTTCCACGTCCAGCTGCTTCTGCTGGAAGGCTTCCTGGACATCAGAGATGGCTTTCTGGACTGTTTGGAGAGACTTTGGTCTGACATTGATTCCCGCCTTTCTAAATTGATTTGCTATATCTTTTATCTTCATTTTAAATTATTAGTTCAAACATTTTGGAAAATTTGGGGTTTTGGGGTTTTGGGGTTTTGGGGGTTTGGGGTTTTGGGGTTTTGGGG